TGGGTAGAAGATGCTCAAGACATGAAAAAAGGAAATTTCAGATGAGTTTACTTATTTTAAGTAGTTTTTAACCTTCTCTATTGACAGACATTACAAACAACTCAGGATAAAACATTTTACTCATAGATTTTTGTACACCTGCACACATATATCTGTACCATAAACTATTGGAATTTGAATTAGTGGACCTGAAGGTATGTGGATCCTTTATTGCAATAAATATTGCCAAAGTGGCACTTACACACACACACACACACACACACACACAACTGGGCTGCATTCCAGACATACTAGTTCCAAATTTTAGGATGCATAACCTAAGCATAGTACATAACGTAGTTTTTAAAATCAAATTGAAGTACAAAAAAATTTGAGAATCTCATTTTTAGAACTTATTCTTTGATAAAAAACATTAAATTACCATAACTTTTCTGATGGTTATAAACTATTGGTTTAGTTTAACCAATAATTCAACTAATTCCTCTAAATCTTCAGAGAGTAAATTTTACTAATCCATGTCTCATCTATCCCCTGTCTTTGAAATTGATTTTATACTGTCCAAAATATATGGCTTAATGCTTATACCTATTATATGTCATCTGGATAGTTAGTTAATTTTAATCCATATTCTAGAATATCTGGATTCTTTGGGACTAGATAGTTTCAGCTAATATATTTCCTTTACACTGTTATTTTGAATTAAGAAATTTAAGACAACTAACCTGTAATTGTATCCAAATTACCAATAAAACACTGAAATGTAAGCGGCAAAGAGCACAGTAATGCAGCCCTCTAGTTAAGGTCTCATCTTTGGTAAGCATGTATACATAAAAGAGCTATTTAAAGGTTTGTTTCCATAAATTATACTCTTTTTTCATCTTGTCAAGAAAAAGGCATATCAAGTTAAGTATAAATTAGGCCAGTAGCCTCTCTGTCCTCTCTCAATATAGAATAATTTACCATTCTAGAAACTCTCTGATACATTTATACACTACATAAATAGCCATTGCACATCCAGTGTATGCTGAATCTATTCTCATATAAGTAGGGATATTGGTAGTGGATATCCCCCCCAGGTGCATACCACATAGTGTGTTTCGTAAGTACTCGTTGGATGAATAAAGGAACCAATCCCCTACCACACAGACTTTCACTTCAGCAACCATGTAAATGGCAACGTTGTCAACTAATCCTTGGAAGAATGAAGGAGAAAGAAGGAGAAGTAGATGATGATACAGGGTCAGGACCTCCGTTTTGGCATTTAAGGTTACAGATATTATCTAGATATTAAAGGAGAGATGCTGATGAAGAAAACTAGATATGCAACTCAGTGTTTACAGAGATGTTTGATCTGTCAAGACATTTTTTAAGTCATCAGCATATAGAAGGGTTTTTAAATTGTGGAATATTTTAGATAAATAATGCAAAACTAAGAAATCCCTAAAAGATGGGAAATATTATTATAAAAAAGTTACCTTAAAAAAACACTAATACACAGATGAGCCAATTTGCCTAGAAGAAATCCATATAAATCTATATTAATACATTATGACACTATTGCAGTGATACACCAGTGGACCAGAATGGAAAGTCCAGAAACTTGAAAGGTGCTTCAATTTGTTTACAAACCTATATTTACATATGTAACAATAGGAAAAACAATTATACACATTTGGTGTGGGTGTGGTGTGTGTGTAATGTATTATATAAATACACTTGGAGTTTATTTGTGTCATGTAATAAATATCATGTTATATAATTGTAGAAGCATGTATGTATGGAAATACAAAACTTTGGAAGCAAGTGTGTGTAAGAAAGAGACATTAACTGAAAAAAGGTCCTCCAATTGTTAGCACTGTAAAAAATATCCCTATGTCATGTTACACATAAAAATAAATTTCGTAAGAAATAAAGTCCTAAATGTTAAAATACTTCAATCATGGGAATATCACAAGGGAACTCCCTCTACCTCAATCTCAAACAAGCAAAAATGTCTTTCTTTTTTCTTCTACAAAATCAGAGAACAAGAGGGCAGAACATGTCCTGTAGGGGAGGAGAGTTGGTATCAGTGGGAGGTAGAAGGCAGCAGGGAAAGGGGTAGGAGAGTGAATATGGTACAAATACTGTGTACACATGTATGTAAATACAAAAATGATAGCTGCTGAATGGGGGTGCGTAAAGGAGAGTGGTAGAGAATGTGAATCCAAGTATGACATACTTGATACATTATAAGAACCTTTGTATATGCCCAATGTGCCCCCACCAGCACAATAAAAATAAATAAATAAATAAAATAAACTTTAATCTTATAAAGACAGTTTTGTTGGTAAAATTTCTTAACAAAGCCCCAAACCACAGACTAAAGCACAGAGTTAAGCATTCAACAAATACTTATTGAAGGAATTAAATAATGAATTACACATCTACTTCATCTATATAAATTTTATATAAAAAAGTCAAGGAGTCAGGAATGGTGCTACAGACCTGTAATTCCAGTACTCAGAAAACTGAGGCAGGAAATCATGAGTTTGAAGTCAGTGTGAGCTACATAAGGAGACTGTCTCAAAACAATAACAAAAAAGTCAAAATAAAAGCCAAATGTGACAGAAATTTTTAACAAACTTGAGCAAATCAATAATAAAGACAAACAACCCAGTTACAAATTGGCAAAGGATACAGTCAAGTCGCAGAATTAGAAAGCTAAATAGTTGATAAGCATTTGGGAAAAATTCTCCCTAATAAGTTGTAAACTAAAACTGATGAGATAAATTTAATATTCTTCAGATTGAAAAGACATTTTAAAAAATGAACAGCATTGAGTTTTAACCATAATATGGAGAGATAAGAACTCTCACAGACCATTGGTAGGAGTATAATTGATTCAATTATTTTAGAAACCTTGTCACAGTTTCCCATTGACGTCTTGTAGACAACTGACATCAGGTTGGGAGATCTCAGTTTCAGGTCCTGTAGCTAGTTCTTATTTGTTAATCAACAATAAACCCAAAGAAACAATTCCCTCCTGTTACCTCAATATTTTTAGAAATGAGAGTGTCAGAAAGGCAAATCAAGAATTTAACACTTGCTCTACTTTTAGTAGAATGAGAATTTCAACAGATGTCCAGAGACTTGAAGTCCCTAATTACTGTTATATTTCACATCCTTACACTGTTGTGGTCTTTTTTTTTTTTTTTACACAACAGAATGTGCCCTGATGAGGCATAGTCATTCTCATGTTTTTATTATTCATTTTTTTTTAAAAAAGATGTTTGTTATGATCCACTAAGTTAATTGCAACCATCAGGTTGTAGACCTTAATACCAATTCCTGCACCTCCACCAAAATCCTCAAGGCATCCCAGTCTGACCCTGACCTTTTCTCTTTCATCTGACTCCTTCTAGCACTTAGTTCTTCCCAGCCTTCACCCTATAAGCCCTCTGACCCTGTGGCCTTCCATTTTCAGTGTTTCTCACCTTCATCTTGTCCCCATGTCCCTGTATGCAGCTAAGGTTCCCTCATACCCTTAACTGTCCTTGCCCTCTCTCCACCTCACTTTCCTGAGAACCCACACCTGCTCTAGCCCCAACTTGGCTGGGGAAAGCATGCAGCTATGTGTATTGTCTTGCTTTTGATTTGTGACAATAAACCTCAGGGGTACTCTTGACCCTGCTGAGTCCGCTGTTCTTGTATAGCTTCACATCACTCTCAAGTGATGATGTGGCTTGTTAAACTGGTGAGAGGTGCAGTTACACACCAGTCTCACCTTCCTGTACTGCATCTACTAACCGACCCACCCCTGCAACTTCATATGCCCTTGATATTGCTCTCTTGGCTGTCACTCATGCAGGTATGAACTTTTCCTTCTGCATCTTCACTGTCCCTCTTTGATGGATAGTCCCCTTATCTCAGGGAACAAGACAGCAGTAAGCAGCAATAGAAGCCTCTGACTGTATGTCCTAGTCCACTGTTCTCCAAATCCTCTGCTCTCCCTTCTTAGAGTTGTCATACTTTGTTGTTGTGGTCTTTATTAGGAAGTAAGTATCCGCATTATTTTCTGCCTCTTCAAACATAAAATTGTTTAATATTACCCTTCCATGTATTCTGATTCCTGACTTCAAGGCTACTAGTTATCTAGAAATAATTCCCTAAAAATTTGTTACTCTCAGATTAAAAATAACTCCTGAATTGCTGAACAGAAAACATCTCTGACTGTTAAAAATACTCATATCAAATGTTCTGAGGCAAAAATATATATTAAAAATATATATATATATCATTGCAAGTAGTAAAAGCTTGCCTTTATTGTAAAGTTTTTTACAGTATCCTATTTTATTCCCTAAAACAACTATTGGTTTATAATAAATACCTATAAAATACTTAATTTCTCTAGTCCTCACTTTGCCCATTTGTGAAATAAGAGGCTTTAATCAGATAAGATCCTTTTGTGTTACAAATATTCTTGGATTTCCAATATAAACTGAATATTTTTACTTACAGGTCTTGTAAAACAAGCCCCGTTTCCATATTTATTTCACTAGAGATGAAAGGAATTTAGTTAGACAGGTCAATGCACAAAGTTATTTAATTATTAAGATAAAAGGTGTCCATTTTCAATGGTCCTTGTAAATTTCAGACTACTGGAAGATGTTTAGCTCAAGCTAATATCAAATCTTTCAGAACTATCTAAAAGAACAGCAAGAACTTGCTTCTGGCAAATAAGAAATTCCCATCAATGGTCTATGAGAGTTCTCTCCAAATCATGGCAAGACCTTGATGCTGTCCACTTTTTAAAATGTCTTTTCAATCTGAAGAGCATTATATGTATCTTGTTTTAATTTATAAATTCCTGATTATTAGGGAGAAGATTTTTCTACCTAATTGCGCCATGAAAAGCACAATTCAGTACTACATGTTTAAAATGAATATATTCCAATATGTATAGAATTATGAAGAATTACATATAACATTATACAAAAGAGACAGTAACTTAGTTATCATACCTGTGGACATAAGGTTTCCAAGTGATTGGCTGCAATTCTGACAATTTTAATCCCATCTTCATTTGTTGACATGGAACAAGCAAGATTTGCAACCTAAAATACAATTCAAAACAATGGAAATTATTTTAGATCATCAAGGAAATACAGAAACATTTGTTATTCTGGACCAGTAAGATCATGTACCCATGCATTGAAAATTCAGTGACAAACAGCATTTTTATAAATGCCACTGATAACTATTTGATGAAATAATTCTGAGAATCTATTAAAACAAATAACAACAGAGAGCCTTAGAGAATTGTTCAAAATAAAAAAGGAAATGCTGGTGAATGAGTCAGTAAAGCCCATAATCTAGCCCATAACATCCAGCCCATAATCAGAAGCTCTTAGGGGACTGCAAAAAAAGTCTATCTATGAATTGAATACTAATAGGTTCTTGGAATCTCCTATGATTGTGGTTTATTTTAAGTTTGTAATTGGCTTACTATTTCCCAGAGGTCTATTATGCATACTTAAGTTGCATTAAACATAGCTGTATCTTATTCATGTTTTATTCAACATCAAATATGCTCCCAAGCTGGACAAATACAACATAATTAAATATTTTCTCCTGCTCTTGATTTTCCACTAAAACCTAATGAGCACTAATTTGACATTCTGGCAGTCAATTTGATTCAAGCATAGTGACACCCAAATTTCTTTTATATTATTGCTCTTGAAACTTATACTCTCTTTCAGTGAAATGGGTGTTCTTTTACATAATTGGCATTATGTCCATTACCTAAGCCCAATATTTACAAATTCTTTACACCAGGAAAGAGCCATGGGAAAAAATGTGAGATTGTTTCCCTTTCTTTGAGTCACACTCTAGTTTAGCATTCCTCTTACCAGCACAGTGAGGGTTTATGTACAATGAGCTATATCTTTCACTGTTTTTATCAATGTAAGGAGATACTTTAAACAGACTCTCTAACTTTTATAATGTGTCTGTCAGTTATCATATACTTTCATCTTTGCAATTCTTTTACCCCTCAGTTCAAAATATGCACACTTGCAGAGAAACCACACATTAGTTGCATGTGAGACAAAGAACAAGTACACCTTTCGGTCACTGCTTTAAGAGTACTACAAAGTGATATTTGAATGTATTAATAAACTTTGCTTTATTAGCATTACTTTTAATATGTCAATAGTGAAACAACTTCTGACTTTGCATGTACATATACTAAAGTAACAGCCATACATTATCTAGCTGTGGAAGGGCATTGTTCACTTTATTAGTGCACGTGGAAGTGACTTACTTGAAAAGGTCTTTTTTTGGCTTGAAGGTCACAATGCCTTAACTCTCATATCTGACACATAATTAGCGCATTTGTGAATCATTTGAAAAGGGCAACAGTTTCCATACCCTCTACCCCATCCCCCAGACCTCACTCACTGATAGTGAAATTCAGTCGACTAATTAGTTTAAAATGTATTATATTAATTTGCACTGCAGTTGCAGAAAGTCTCTCTCTCTAAATCTGAGTACTGTTTGTTTAAAGTAAAAAATAAAAATTATTGGCTCAATTTGTTGGCTAAATTAGAATAATGTTACTTTTTAAAAAAGTGTATCCTATATCTTTTCCTTCTTTTTTTAATAGTAGTGTTTGAACTCAGGGCTTCATGCTTGCTAGCAGGTGCTCTGCCACTTCAGCCACTTCTCCCTCCGATTGATTTTGAGATAAGGTGTTGCTTTTATGCCTGGGTTAGTCTGGAGCAGGGTGCTCCTATTTTATGCATCCTGTAGGTGGGATAACAGGTGTAATCCATCATACCCAGCTTTTATTGGTTGAGATGAGGTCTCCCTAACTTCTTACCCAAGCTGGCCTAGAATTGCAATCCTCCTGATCTTCGCCTCCCACATAACTGGGATGACAGGCTCTTGTCACTGGCACCTGGCTTCCTTCTCCTTTGAAAGTAGATATTTTTGTCTGGGTATTTTCTGGCTCTCATGTTGACTTCAAACCAACTAAATGACTAACATAACATGGGAATTATTCTAAATGGAGCTTATTTTTATATTAGCAGAGTTACATTTTATGAAAGTACAACACAACTGAAAGGAGCATTTTATACTCAAAGTTGTTTATTTAATTAATGATCATACTAACACTTTTTGTCTTTATTGAGTCAGTGTCTATCTGAAGTTCACCTTGCCAGAACTGTTCTATGCCAACTCAAACTTCTAAGTGATCAAGTGTCATTTAAATAGCTGTTCAGTTATAGCACCATTGTGTACAAACAAAGTTGAATTAATTTTTTTGGTGGTACTGGAGTTTGAACTCAGGGCCTTGAACTTACTAGGCTGGTGCTCTACCACTTGAACCATGCCTCCAGGTTCTTTTTTACTTTAGTTATTTTTCAGATAGAGTTCCTTTTTATTTTCCCAAGGCCAGTCCTGGACATGAATCTCCTAACTATGCCTCCTAAATAGCTGGGATTATAGCCATATGCCACCTGACAAGATCACAGTTGAGACAGGGTCTTGCTAAGATTTTGCACAGTCTGGCCTTGAAACAGGATTCTTCTGAACTTTGCCTCATGAGTAACTAGGATTATAGACATGTACCACCACAACCAGCAAAAGAATCACAGTCTGAGGTCCTCTAGGCAAAAAGCAAGACCCAATCTAAAAAATAATTAAAGAAATTTCCAAAGTTACATCCATATGAGATTGAAAGTCAAATTTCTTCTAATAATTATTCTTAAATTCTGTGTGGTTCTTCAGCCAGTCAAATATGTTACCAAGCACAGTATGAAGGTAGCTCCCTACTTGTCAAAGAAAACAGCATGCAAATAAAATGTTGTAAAAATAGTCGGAGATATTTTCACACCTGACATCCATATTTATCTAACTTTGACTTTGTTTCAAAAATCTTTGTAAAACTTCATTATCTAACACATCTTAGAAAATTTCTGCCCATCAAAGTATACTGAAGTTTAGGGAGGTTTTGGAGGCAAAAAGATCTGCGTTTGAGCAATTAATGTTTCTTATCATGGGAATGTTCTTACCATGGTAGATTCTAACTTCTTTTCTTGTACTTTGCTACCTGTAACATGAAAATACCTACCTCACAGGGGCATTTTGAAGATTAATTGAGGCAGTGTGTGGATAAGGTCTGATAGCTGGTAGCCATCTATCTTGCAACTGATGGGGGAATAAAGATTTGTCATTCTCTCAGCAGTTTTGTAGTTTCAAGGGTCTAAAGAATTTTAAAAAGTTTCTAATCAAAGACTTCAGTTGCTTTCAAAGCCATATAAGGAAAAAAATCCATAGAGTTTGGTTGTAATTTAGTGTTGGGGTAGAATAGTGGGTCTTTCAAGGAAAATGGGTGTATATACCCTACCAAAAGGCAAAAGGACTCTCACTAAAACAACACAATGTGGAAGGAAAATCTCCCTACTTTAGGCAACCTAACTGTTAGCTTATTTCAGTCCATAGGTCACCAGTTGTGATCTCTGATACCATTGAAATCCTCTATTGTATACATAGAAAAGCAAAATCAAACAGGGTGAAGAAACATAAACAAACCAAATAACAAGGTATGCTAACCAGGTATGTGTGTACTCTTTATACACACTGAACTAAAGTATTTGCAAAGGCTTTTCTGTATTCTGCATTGAATTGATTGACTTGACCTTGTGTTGAAATTATGCTATATCCTTTGCTAAGTCTAAGAAAAGCAGAGGCTAAATTATCCTAAATAAGTGGAACCAAAGACATTTAAGTAGATACACACATTCATTCAAAAGGAAAGGCTTGTATGAAAATTCTTTTACTTTGACAGAAGATTAAATTATATGAGTAAAATAATTACCAATACTGTATCCTGAAAATTAAGTTTTCTACCAGCTTCTCTTTTCACCAGTCTTTCTGCTATCTAAGACACCCGTCACATTCCAGCTCCTTTAAACTTAAACTTGCCTGAGCTCACTGCTCTATTTGGTCTACAAAAAGAAAAAAAATCATTGTTCACAAAAAGACTAGTCAGACAATTCCTGAGCTAAAAACCTTGTTGACATTTATTCTCCTCATACTGGTTCCTGGTTCAAGTTCTGTGTATGAATTGATATGTTCTTGTCATGTTTTTTATTTACTGGATGTTGGGTCTTCCCTTTTCCTTGGCAGCAAACATGGTACCCTTCACTCTGTAACTCATGTTCTGGGGTGAGAAACTCCATGCTGTGAACCCCAGCCTTGTGGAAGCTTGCCAGACAGGGAGGTTCTGTCCCTCACTCTCCACCAAGGTAAAGAGATGGCCACAGCCAACCAACAAGAGTGACAGGCTAGAGGTAGAAACAGAAACAACTGAAGAACAGGTATTTGGAAATTAGAAAATTTCTCAATGTGTCTTAAACAAATTTACCATTCCATAGGTTGACTTCACTTTTTGTAATTAATTTGTTCTCATTTGCCAAGGGGATATTTTTTTTAAATACTAATGCCAGAGCATGCCTTATTTTCACACTCTAATTGCAAGTTTTATCTTAAGTCTAGTAGTCCTCTCAGTCATCGTAGACATCTGAGACAGAATCATTGTTAGGAATGAATGCACTATTTGGACATCTGCTTGTCACACAGCATTCAGTCTATCACTAAGAAATTCTTATACAGTATTTACCTGTGATACAGTTTTTCAAGAACATGAAGCAATTTTTGATGTTTGATGAGATTTCTATTGTTGCACATTCATTGTTTGTATATAGTTCAAATAGTTAATTATAATATCATGTCACCAAGTGTCCTGCTCTCACTAGGGGAGAAAGGCCACTGTTTCATGCATTTTCTTCTCTGGCAGATGGTCATACAACTCCTGTGTAAACACTTCCAGGGACAGAGAATTTAGTGTTTTGCAGGGCAGCTAATTTCCAGTGCAGGGTAATCCAAAACTACAGTGTTAACAGAGTTCTTCTTCATTAGGAGGTGGGATATTTCAACACCTTTCTCATAGTATCATAAACTTCAGAATATCAAATATCTTCAATAATAGAGAAAGTTGGACCCATACAAAGTTGGAATCAAGGATTGGGTTGTGGCTAAAGTGGTAGAG